TAATTTTTATAGAAGTATTAGCCTCCCATCATTACCCATCCATCACTTCAAGTCAGATATTGCCACCGACCTATAAAAATGCCCATTTTTCAGAACTGTTGAATTTTGGAATTATGAATAAGGGGTTGGGATTCTGGAAAGTAAAAGGAGATTCTGCATTTTCTTATGGTGAACTATACTATTCTCTCATTTTTACTATGTGGGTGTTTTCTAGATCTGACAAACATGGGCCACTGATTCTTTTTCTTACTTTTGTTACCATAACTCACTCTCCTCCCAGGTGCCCCTGCCTGGGGATATCACTCCAGGTATCTTCTGAGGACATCACTCCAGATAGCTTCTGAGGATTAAAGGCATGAAATAGAAAGAAGTGGGATGCTTTCAGCATCAGTTTCCTCTTTGGATGTTGGATATTTAAGTCACATTGAGAATTATATTTTTCTGTTCTCCAAAGTTTGTTAGAATGCGAAACATATGATAATATCAGGAGAGAAAAAGACATCAAATTTTTTAGTGTACATTCTGCCTTTGTAGTAAAAGCTATGACCTCTTAAATATTTTAACTCAGAAGATATTTAAGCAAGATTTATAGTAAGATATAATATACTAGCAGTTTGAGACTATATTAAATTGTTTTATTTAAATACTTACAGGTTTTTAGAGAAATTTATATTGTCATATTGACTAGTTGACATTGCTCTTTACTTCCACTAATGACTACCTATATATATTTTTATTCCATTGCTTTTCTATTTTATAATGATATTGATTTGGGGGACTTGGAATGAGACTACAAGTTGCAATTCAATCGTACCTAGTAATACATAATTATTATTCAGAATTTATTCTAGTATTTATTTATTTTTTTAGTGTCCTACTGAAACCAAGGCAACGTTCGGGGTCCACCTTAAAATAGTAGGAGACTGGACAGGTATGTAGAACATATTGTTTTAAGATACATGCTTTGAAAATAATGAATCATACAATAATTTGTGTCTAAGTAGCAGAATTGCCAGCATGTATAGAAATGTATATATGTTCTTAAGCTGTTGTTTGTTTACTTATACAGTTTTGATATTTATGTTTTCTTCTTATAAGATGAATTTTTGAATTAGAATATTTCAGATATTAGTAATTTTTATTTTCAAATCTTCACAGCAGCTTTATTTGTAATAACCAAAACCTGGAAACAACCCAAATATCTATTAACAGCTGAATGGATAAAAAAATAATTGTGGTATACTCATATAATGGAATAATACCTAACAATACTAATGAACAAACTATAGATATATGTAACAAGATGGATTAATCTCAAAACAATCATGGTTAATGAAAAGAGCCAAAATCCCCATGCCTTGGAAAGTACTGTATATTGCATAAAATTCTAGAAGATGTAGTACATTTTAATAATGTATTATTCACTGTGTTTGCAAATCATAGGTTTCCACCTACTTGACAGATGTACTGGCAATAGTGGGAACACTGAACTATTTTTTTCCTTTGTTTTAGAGAGCATTATTTTAAAATTGGTGGTTGGTTTTACTCTTAAAATAATTGACACTTGGGGATGATATCACACAAATCTTCCAGTTCTTGCATGACCTTTCCTGTGGTATCCACCTACATTACATCTCTGAAATAGTGGTCATTCTTAGTAGCAGGCCTATTGGTGGTGGTATTTTACTCATTTGTTCAATAAATACTTTTTTTTTATTTGAGAGGTTATATTAAGAGTTCTATGTAAATAAAAGAAACATTCATTTTTAATATTCCCTTGACTGTTTAGGTTGATTCCTCAGAGGAAAAGATGCAGGCATAAACATGAATGCAGATGTAAATAAAGATATTTATAATTGAGTGCTAAACTAGGAATTAGTTTTTGAAAACTATAGGGAATCAGAACATGTAGTCTAGGGCTATAAGAGAAGGTTCACAGGGAAGATATAATTTGAGCTGAACCTGGAAAATCAGGGACATGAGGGAAGAAGTGGGTCGTTTAAGTGAAAATCACAGCATTGTCAAAAACCAGGGAAGATAATGATTAAACCATATTTAAGAAGGGTAAGTCAATCAGCCTAGCAAAAGCAAAGATTTTGTTCTGGGAAATAGTCTAGAAAATCCTCTTAAGGTCGGCTTGGTGAAGATCGTGAATGCCTAGGCAAGATATTAGAATAACATAGAGATGCTAGGGAACCTTTAAAGAATTTGGAGCATCATAATGAACATAGTATTAATAACTTGCGAGTTGGATCAATTAGAATCAAGGGAAGATTCTATGGTGCTGGAAGCAAGTCAGTGGAGGAGAGGGGATGGAAACTGGGGAGCAGAAGGAATGGATTTGTAAGCTCAGGTTGAGAAGTGAACATTGAAAAGGACGAACTAATTTTTGTAAAAATAGGAAAGGACAATATATGTATTGTATAATAAAATAGAAATGTTTTAGGAAGAAGAACAATTGAAAAGCTTATATCACACAGTTAAAAAATGATAGTATAAAATTCTTTGTCTATAGAAAGGACAGCTGGCTGGGTATTGGAAAGTTGAAGAAAATGGAGAAATATCTCATGGGAAAACAATGAAATTAAGTCAAAAGATCTTTGAGCAGTATTGACCTACTTGGAATCATGAAAAACCAGGCTTGGTTCATATGATAGCATTCAAAGAGCTCATGATAGTACAGGGTTAGAAAAACACTGGTACAGTTTGGAAACAGTAATTCTTATGACAACTACTTGATGTAACCATAGTTGTTTTGTACCCTTTAACCAAGAATAAGTGAAGTTCTTTTCTGGTTCAAATATCAATATGGTAAGGATTAACTTCAGTAATGAATAGTAATTGGTAGAATTCTACATCTGAAGGGAAACAAGCACAATGAAGGTATAATTTAATTCATCAGTGTAAGCAGAAACTTCGTGATGGTTTATTGCTACTGAGTTTCTTCATATTTTCTATTGTCAGCACCTCATTAAAATAAATTATGTCGTCATTTATTTTAATCTCTATTAGGAATACTTAATAGTTTAAATTTTATCCTCTTATTTCATGTACTATGTCATTGAAGGATAAACAAGATCATTTTATTCAGAGTTCAGTTCCAGTCAGTTGGTTTTCAATTAATAGAGACCTTCTTGGTTATTGACTTTAAATATTTGTTGATTTGAAAAAAAATGTCAAGCATTCATGCAGAGAACCCCTAAATAATTGTGCCACTATCTGGCCTTTAAACAATGGAATTATCATTATGGAGGGGAAATGGGGACATTGCTCCTGAGATCAAGGATCACTGGTTTTTATTCTGAAAGAATTGATTAAAACTCAGTTTTAAGTGCAGTAGTTGTAGTAAATACTAAGGAGATACTTAGGAATTCAAATATCAACTTTTACTTTTTAAAAATCAGTTAGAAATTATCCACAGTGACTTTTTCTTCCCTGAAATATGTTCTGCCTGGACAGGTCTAATGAACAGGTTTAAGACCACCACATGCACGATTTTTCTAAGATTAATCAACTACACCCAGCTGTAGAGTGTCCAGGAAGCAAATGAAGCAGCCGTATAGCACAGTATCAAAGTTTTGTATTTGTTGTTTAGCCTTTTATTTTACCCAGGCCTGTAGTTGCATCTCCGAAGTGTGTGAAAGATTTATTGAAGTTTAGAAGTCTCTTCAAACCTCTGAAGTAGTTCAGGTTTTTCCCTGAAATGATGATGGTAGAGGGGGTGTAGTGAATTATCCGAGTAGATTTCTCTTTGAATTGAATTAATATTTTGTTGTTCTTTTAGAATCAAAGTCAGATGTATGGTGACAGATTGCCTGTTAGCTTGATCTAACTGTTCAAAATAGCTTATTACTTTCTTCATTAGATATCATTATTGTTGAATAATGTCTGAGATAATATTACACCATAATTATTTTAATCATCTAAATAGCAGCTTACTCTTGAGGGGTCTGAGTTGTACTATAAGAGCATAGTATCATTATTTTTGAATAATGTCTGAGGTAATGTTACACATAATCATTCTAATCATCTAAATAGCAGCTTATTCTTGAGGGGTCTGAGTTGTACTATAAGAGCATTAATATACCTAATATTCACATGTAATTAATTAAAAATATTATCATTGTTCCATTCAATAATTAGTGTATTGACAATAACTGGATAAAAATGCAATGAAGACCTCATAACAGCCTTTTCTTAAATCTTGGGTATCCATTCCCATATTTTCTACTGGAAAACCTTGCTACAATCAGAAGATATGGTTAACTTTGAGAATTCACAATGGGAAAACAGGGCCATATAATATCTCCTTGCCTTGAACACATAATACATTAATATTTATAGTACAACTAGGCTTAGGTAGAGCTTTAGTTAAAGGGAGGGCCAAAAAGGAGGCAATAACTCTGTCTCTACTTCAGTATCACTCTATTAGCCAGGTAAGTCTCAAACTTCATCTAGCTCAGTGGTTCTCAACCTTCTGGCCCTTAAATACAGTTCCTCATGTTGTGACCCAACCATAAAGTTATTTTCATTGCTACTTCATAACTGTAATGTTGCTACTGTTTTCCCATATTTTCTACTGGAAAATCTTGCTACAATCAGAAGCTATGGTTAACTTTGAGAATTCACAGTGGGAAAACAGGGCCATATAATATCTCTTTGCCTTCATCACATAATACATTAATATTTATAGTACAACTAGGCTTAGGTAGAGCTTTAGTTAAAGGGAGGGCCAAAAAGGAGGCAATAACTCTGTCTTTATTTTCTTCAGTATCACTCTATTAGGCAGGTATGTCTCAAACTTCATCTAGCTCAGTGGTTCTCAACCTTCTGGCCCTTTAAATACAGTTCCTCATGTTGTGACCCAACCATAAAATTATTTTCATTGCTACTTCATAACTGTAATGTTGCTACTGTTATGAATCGTAATGTAAATATCTGATATGCAGGATGGTCTTAGGCGACCCATGTGAAAGGGTCGTTCGACCGTCAAAGGGGTCGCGACCCACAGGTTGAGAACCGCAGATCTAGCTGCTTGTTTGTTTAGTAAAAGATTAAAACATAGTATGTGTGAAGTATTTAAAGTGTGTGTGTTTTTTTTTCATTTGGATTAACTCCAAGTGGAGATAGTATGCCAGTTAATGACTTATTAAATAATAATAATGTCATTATTTTATAATGACAGCATATTTTGGAACAGTTTTGGCATCCACCTTACACTGTTTATGTCGGTGACTAGCTTTTGGTTGCTGCAAAATGGTAAAAACCAAAGTACTCCCATTGAATACTGAGCTGCTTTTTAAGGACATGCCAGAAGAGGAGATACAAACTGAGTTTGAACATACTGACTTCATCATGGATTATATTCAAGTATATGAAACATCATGAGTTTTACATAATTCATGTTCACACATTATAAACTTTAGTCTAAACCCATAATAAATATGAATTATTAATTGAAATATCTGCAAAGGAGTGACTAGAAATACTGTTTTTCTAGCTTATTCTTGAGGGGTCTGAGTTGTACTATAAGAGCATTAATATACCTAATATTCACATGTAATTAATTAAAAATATTATCATTGTTCCATTCAATAATTAGTGTATTGACAATAACTGGATAAAAATGCAATGAAGAGCTCATAACAGCCTTTTCTTAAATCTTGGGTATCCATTCCCATATTTTCTACTGGAAAATCTTGCTACAATCAGAAGCTATGGTTAACTTTGAGAATTCACAGTGGGAAAACAGGGCCATATAATATCTCTTTGCCTTCATCACATAATACATTAATATTTATAGTACAACTAGGCTTAGGTAGAGCTTTAGTTAAAGGGAGGGCCAAAAAGGAGGCAATAACTCTGTCTTTATTTTCTTCAGTATCACTCTATTAGGCAGGTATGTCTCAAACTTCATCTAGCTCAGTGGTT